GCGGGAGCGCTGCCGCGCTCCCAAGCGGCACACTCTCCAGTGCGCCACCGGGCCGGCCCCCCTTCCTCTTCTTGACCTCAACTTTCCCCTTAACCTTGTTAACCTTACCCTGTGCCTGAGTCCAGCCAGGGACCACTAGTGCCACTCAAGAGCATCACAAACCACTTGGCTCAACTCCAGGGAGAGATGAGATTCCCTGAAAGGTGTACCATGTGTTCTCTGCCCCACCTTCCAACCCCACCCCTCATGCTCCAGGAGAAGTCAGGGGGAGCTCAGGGTAAACAGATTACCAGTAGGGGAAGCAGCTCTGCTTCTTGGTGGTGTTGCTGGCATTCACTAGGTGATCACATAATCTATGTTAGTCTTCAGTCCTTTTTAGCAGCTGATTCAACTCCCTGCCTACTTCCTCACATCTAGCACCATGGCCTTCAGTATATGACAGAACGAAAAGTGGGCTATGGAGCTAGGCAGACCAGAGGTCTAATCCAGACTGTCTCTTGCAAACTTAGGCAGGATACCTGATTATCTCCCTGAATCCCATTTCCTCATTTTACAAGTGCAAAGAATGATACCTATTCTTAGGTTAGTGGAGAGGTGAGAAGGGAGGCTGTTGTCCCTGGTGCACAGAATACCCACAGCTCTATACCTAGCCCTGCATTTTTCTAGCTCTGTATACTCTGCCATGCTGTTGCTGAGAAGCCTGTGTTGGTTTTCCAGGTGAATATATCCAGCATGCCTTACATAAATGAGTTGAAGCTCAGGGTTGAGACAAGGGCTTGAGAAAACCATGATCAAAAACATAACAGCAGCTAATGTAAACTAAGCTCTTACTACATGCTAAGTGGTTTACAAATTTTACCTCATTTAATTCTTTTTTTGTGTGTGTGTTGCTGTATTCTGTTTGCTAATTTTTTGTTATGAATATTCATGAGATACAATGCTGATTGCCACCCCTCATGCCCGTGATGTGGGGGCCAGATTCATACTGACTGTATACCATAACCACAAATTGCATTTGAACCCCATGTCCCCCATCCAGTTATCCCCAACCTCCCTACCCCTTCTCCCTCTCTCCCCCTCCACTTTGTAGCCCATAGAATGTTCTCTTCCTCTGCAAGTCCAACATACTACTGTGGTCTTTCTTTCCTTCCTTCTTTCTCTCTTAGCTCCCNGTTGTTGCAAATGGGAGAATTTCATTCTTTTCTATGGCAGAGTAGTATTCCATGGTGTATAGATACCACAGTTTCCTTATCTGGTCATCTATTGAGGGACATTTAGGCTGGTTCCATGTCTTGGCTATTGTGAACAGAGCTGCAATGAACATGAGAGTGCAGGTATCTCTTTGATATGATGATTTCCACCCCTCTGGGTATATACCCAGAAGTGGGATTGTGGGATCATATGGAAGCACAGACTTTATGAACAGCAGCCTGAAAGCACAAGCAGCAAAAGAAAAAATAAACAGATGCGACTATATCAAACTAAAAAGCTTCTGCACTGCAAAGGAAACAATCAACAGAGGGAAACGACAACCTACAGAGTGGGAGAAAATTTTTGCTAACTATGCATCTGACAAGGGATTAATATCTATTAATATACAAGGTACTCAAACAACTATACAGTAAAAAAAACAAATAACCCATTTGAAAAATGGGCAAAGGAGCTGAATAGACATCTTTCAAAGGAAGACATACTAATGGCCAATGGGTACATGAAAAAATGCTCAACATCACTAGTCATCAGGGAAATGCAAATTAAAACTACATTGAGATGCCACCTCACCCCAGTTAGACTGGCTATAATAAAAAAGATGGTGACTAACAAATGCTGGCGATGGTGTGGGGAGAAGGGAACACTCTTACACTGTTGGTGGGACAGTAAATTGGTACAACCACTATGGAAAACAGTATAGAGCTTTCTCAAACAACTTCAGATCTCATTT